CCGCCCGGTTGCTGGCTCGGCCGCGCCCGAGGCCCTTGCCGCGAGGGAATCTCGACGGCTGCGGCGGGGGGTTTCCTTTCCTCTGGGCCCCGCTCGGTGACCGGGCTTCCCCAAGGTTTGAAGCAGGTTTTACTTCCTGGATGATTCCTTCCCTTTCCTTTTTTAAAATCCCAGGTTTTACTCCTGTTGCTGTCTGCTTTATACCGGATTGTTGTCCTTGTAGTATCAGTATGATCGTGCTTCTCTCTGACCCCCATCACAGAACTGCCTTTGGCAGCATTTCGGAGCGCTCCCCACTCAGATACCCCTTCTTGAAGCTTCCGCAGCTTAAGTTCCCACGAAAAGAACGGAGAACTGCGCGGCAGCGCGGGCATCGCTCCTCCAGCCTGACTGCATAGGATTGATTGCAGCCTCCCTCTGCCTGTCTCCGGGGCAGTTCCCGTTAGAGCCGCGACGGAATCTGACCATAAAGGGCAAAGCTCCATTCACTCAGCTCCGATCGCAGTGCGGCACAGAAGCATTGGGGCGCCGGATGAAATTGGAAGAGGGTCGGGGAGCGGCAGGGCAGCTGGGGAGCTCGCCCTCCAACTTCCGGCCCTTCTGCACTCCCTCCCTGCCTCCTCACCCTCCAAGACTTTCCACCGCAGAGATTTCCCGGGAATTCCCATCCGACCCCGTGGACTGGATTCGGTGCAAGACCCTCCCTTGGCGCAACCCTTTCTCACTGCAGCCAGAGCCTCCTGGCTCTCTCCCGTCATTAATTGCATTAATTAATTGAATTGAATTGACTCACAGTGAATGTTCAGTTCAGGCCAATCCGGCTTTTGTCTTACCCTGGATGTTTTGAGTGGACTGCTCTGGTCTTTGTTCTGTGCCCTTAATTAGTGGAAACTATGAGAATCTGGTTAATTGTAGCAGGTACAGATCTGATAACAAGGTAAATCATCTTTCCTTTATAAAGAGAAAATCTTCCACTTTGGCAAACTTCTATTGTCATTATTGTTGTTGTATTTTTCAGGGGTATTTTTTAAAAAACAAAGTTAAAGAATAATTGGAACAGCCTGTGGAGGGCATGGGCGGAAGGCATTAGAGAGTCAGAGCTGATGATGGCACAGGGGTAGCGGATTTGATCTGTTTAATTCCAGGCCTTTGTTTAGACACCTCAAAGCGATCCTTACCATGGACAACCTCAGACTTTATCTTCTGGCCATTGTAGACACCCTGCCATTCTGCACAAACGGCTACTTATCCTGTTCTTATCAAGGCAAAAATCCATTTTGACAGGTCTGAATGCAATGGGTCCTTTTCTCACCATGCTTCCGAAAGGGGCAATCTATGAGAGAACAAATTGTTCTCCAGTAAATGGCCTGCAGCTTTGGAAATCAGGAGCTTCTGGCTGTCATGTATACCCAAGCCAAGGATCATTTCTCTCCTCTGCTGCAAACTCAGGCAACACTGTAGGGTAAGTCTGTCCATTCAACGTTGCCTTGTGGTACAGAGGGACATTGCTAGGGAAATTGGTATAGAGTTTCAATCAAAGTGGTCTAAAGTAAGTCTATCTGTAAAATGAGTGCACCAAGACACTAACTTACCTAATATGGATGTTGCAAATGTCATAAACAATGCAATCCTATGTGAGTTTTCTTTAAAGTAGGCCCTGTTGAATTGAGTGACAGTTATTCTTGGATAAAATGTAAGACAGTGTTAAAAGATTATTTTGGGTATGAAGCCCTTTTGAGGATTTCTTATGCATTTAAGAATTTGATCCATTAAACTCAGCAGGGCTTTCGCTACAAAAACTTAAAGATTAGGAAATCAGTTACAGGATTATTATTCAGCACCATGCTCTCCTAGCAATTAACTGGTAGTGGTGACCTGGTCTCTCTTAAAAGTTCCATTTTCAAAATAATTTCAGATATTCAGACTATGGTTTTTAAATCCCAAAATTGTGTAGTTCCACATCTCTAAAGTATGATTTTTGAACGCAATCCCATTTTTGGAACAAGAGGAACTATTAAATGTATCCTGGCAGCTGAACATGGAAAATTGGAGAAATCATAATTTGGTGAGAGCCAGTTTGGTGTAGTGGTTAAGGCACCAGGCTAGAAATCAGGAGACCGGGAGTTCTAGTCCCACCTTAGGTACAAAGCCATCTGGGTGACCTTGGGCCAGTCCCTCCTGCTCAGCCCTAGGAAGCAGGCAAGGGCAAACCATTTCTGAAAAACCTTGCCAAGAAAACTGCAGGGACTTGTCCAGACAGTCCCAGGAGTCAAGACTGACTCAGAGGCATTATTATTATTTACTTTATTATCATCATCACTGCAATTTGTCCCTTCCTGGCAAGAAAACCACTACAAGATTTCTCAGCAGAGCTAACTGGGAATGCAAAAGGCACCTTCTGGACAAGGACAATCAGCTTAGTCCCCTAATAGCATGATCATTCATTCATTCATTCATTCATTCATTCATTCATTCATTCACACACACACACACACACACACACACACACACATGCTGTGCTTGTGCTTTTGATTCTTTAAAAGGAACCAACTGCATGCATGGTTCCCCTCACCCACCAGTGTTGTCTGATATCCCTCAAAGTGAGTCTCTTTCTGAACATTACCGCCTTAACACTTTAGGAACTTTTCCTCATTATTTCTGTCCTAACCTGATCCTGCAAACTGATCTGAGGAGGATGGCAACCCTTTTAATACTTATTAGGGAACAAGTCCTAATGGTATTAATACTTATCTGGGCACCCAGGAAGCCACAGGTTCAGATCTGAGACATCACCAGTTTGAACAGAACCAGTGAATTCTGTTTACCTCTTTCCCTCCTCAACATCTTGATAAAGTCATCCTACCAAAACCATGTAGAAATGAAAAAGTGAGTATCAGCAGTCTGTAGTAAAGGTGCCAAAGGAAAATTCTTCAGAAGCATATTAGTTTGATTTGCAATGTCTATATTTGGATTTTCTTAAAATTAAAAATTTATAACCTAGCCAAAATACAAAGTTTTTGATCTTGACCCAGAAAACATAGGACAAAATTAATCTTTTAGAAAGAAATTAACTCCACACATTGACAAATCAACACATCATTAAACAAGATGTTTTTAATTTAATTCTAAATAAAGAGATAAGAAATAATAAATCTTCAATAAAATATATAAAATTGTACAAGGCATCCCTTTCAAAGGGATTTTCATAGGCTGGGGATGGGTGGGTAAAAGGCCAACACTGAACTAATAGACAAGGATTCACAACGCAGCCTGTAGCAGAGCAGATTCCTTCTCACTCTTTAGGACATACTAAAAACACACCTTGGAAATGTCTTGTCTTCAGCAACCTGCCTCCTCTATAGACCACAAAGTTTAGCCATAGTAATAATAACATAATTAAAACAATGGGTTATATAGTACCATGTATGCTAAGAACTCTTTCCTCCCTGCCCTCCTCTAAAATAAATCAAAGATAGGGGAGCTGTCCTGTCTTTAGAGTGGGTGGCACTATTCTGTTTCATCCTCTGGATCTGTGGGTGTGTCAAGACCCATTTAAGCATAATTCATTTTTACAAGCTAATAATGGTTAAAGCACAAGATTATTGTAATAAACACAAAACAACTCTGCAACACAAAACAACTCTGGTTTTAACATCTCTCTGCACATATGCACAACTATATATTTTCTTTTCGTATCTCTAACTGGTTTGTTCCTGATATCAAAATATCAACTGAACACAGACTTGACTTAAATGATGATTAAATGAACAAGGGCAACTGGGATCAAGACAAATCTGTAAGAAACTTCTCAGGCTCCCTTCTGCCATGGCACACCCCTGTACCCCTCCTAATGCTGCCTTACAAACAAGAATAAACTGCAAACAAAAAATTGGCAAAACTCACATCTGTAGGAATCCTTTACAGGATAGAAATGGGGTAATCCCATTTCACGGGTGCCACTCTACAGGAAATATTCCAGTATGGAATTTTGTAAAGGAATGTATTCTAAGATGGAAAACTTGCTTTGCCAGATCAGATCAACAGTCCACCCAATCCACCATTCTGCATCTGAAGTATTCCAGTTCCTTGCATTTCAGTTTCCAGGACTGGAGTGCAGTGTAGGATCCAAAGAGAAATATAGAAACCAACTCAGTGTCAACTTTTATTTCTGAAGTTGGTTTTATAAATAAAGCTCATCTATATGTTTAAGCTTCCTCACTCAGTCAAAGAATACATGTGCATTTTTACCTACGTACGCGCGCACACACCACGCTGGGAATAAGTACCATTGAACAAAGTGAGGTGTATTCCTTCTGAGTAAACAGGCATAAGAAAAGACTGCAAGTTCCTCACTTTCAAGATCTCTGTGTGTGTCTGAGTGTGTGTGTGCATGTGATGATATTCCGCTGGTTCACTGGGAACATTAGGGAGGCTGATAATTAAATCATATATTTTCCTGGGAAGAGTTATCAATTTAATCCCCCTCCCCTGTGCAGTATATAAATAAACTATATTCGTTTAAGTCTGTATGTTCAAAAAAACTTGGTTTCAGGATCAGATTCTAGATGCTGAGCTCACATTTGGTTGGTTCCCAAGTTGCGGAATACAGGTTCTGAGTTCAAATTCCTATATATTTGATAAGGCACATTACAAGTAGGCGAAAAATGACCAGTCACAGTTCTGTACGGCAGTCTTTAACTGAGTACACTCCATCAGATAGTCAGATACCATGTCATCACTTTCTGATCTTCTTACGATAAGTGATACATGCTATATCCCACAGGAGTAGCATAGAGTCCTACAGGTGGGATAGGAAGCACAGGTCTGTGAAAGGGATAGGACGTTCCATAGAGAGAGGCTGCCTGGAGAGGCGAGTTGATAGGGAAAGGGAGGCTGAAGCCAGATGGCAACATGGGCTTCGCTGCCATTTTTAACTTCTCCAGCTCTGCTTCCTGCAGTCTCTTTGCCTTGGCCCTCCGGTTCTGGAACCATATTTTGACCTGGGTCTCTGTAAGATTGAGGGAGCTTGAGAATTCAGCCCTTTCAGCAATAGATAGATACTGCTTCTGACGGAATTTGCGCTCTAAAGCTAGCAGCTGGGAAGTTGTGAAAGGTGTTCGAGGCTTCCGATTGGTCTTGTGTTTCCTTAGTGTACAGGCTGTGGGACTCAGGTGTCCTGGAAGTAAAGCAAGGAGGAGATGAAAATTAGATGGACAAATGCTAGGAATACCAACTTTTTTTTCCTTATGCAGCTTATAAAATATAGAGAGCATAAATAGTTAGGTAATAATAATAATAATAATAATAATAATAATAATAATACCCATAGCCTAATGAAGTATGAGGATAAGACTCTGTACAGGAGTGCCAACCAAGCCTATTTCACAAAATGAGCAATGCGCACAATGTCAGTAAGATAAAACATTCCATTTTGGAAAAGTACCCGGATGAGGGTATATATAAAAGAAAATAGAACAAGCACATTCAGATGTTACAGATGTTTTAAAATGAAGAAGTAATTATGAAATTATAGCTTATAACATCCTTTCATTTCATAACGTTAATGTTTTGAGATTTTTCTTAGCAAAATCAAGTTACCAGATGAACCTACCATGCCCACAAATTAAAATATTACACTGGATCAAAGCCATCACCCATCCAATCCATTGTGTTTATTAATTTAGCCAATATAATCCATTTAAGTCATAGTCTTTATCTGCAGTGTTTAAAGTCTTCAGCAACTTAGCAAATCAAACACACCAGAGTTGCTTTGTCCTTAATAGTCTATTTAGAAACTCTCCTGGTGTGAGAGCTATTTCACACACATTACTTAGCAGCCAAATTTGGGGTTTATCACTAAGCACACACTTGACAGGGATATGCAGCCAATTGTTGTTCTCCATTTACTTTATCTATGCAATACATGTGTTTGACACATTAACACTACACAGTTTGAAGTGTACACTTTATACACTCTGGCATTACCATTAGAAAGCAACGTGGGAAATAATACACAATACTCTATATTGTTACACAATTGCCCTAATCTAATTTCCCCTACTGAGAATATTAGAGTCTACCAAGAAAGTTTAACATTTATCATGGATGCACTATTCCACTACAGGAGTCCAATGACCATATGTATTTCTGCAAGAAAGTGAGCAAGGAACAGAGGTTACGATATACTGACAAATATCATATTTAGAAACCAATTTGGCTGTTACCATATCCAATGTGCAATGGGGCAGACCAGCCCACACTTTACATGGCACAATGTTGCCTGAATTTGCTTGCTCACATTCTGTATCTCCAATATCACCATCCGGCACATCAAGAAGGGGAGAAATCAGCTCGTTACATAGTTATCATTTGACTCAAACAGACTATTATCAATAACTGGCTGGCTTTCTTTTCTGCAATAGTTTCTTCTATACTAGATAGAGTCTATATTAAAATGACTTTGAAGGTAAAGACATTGAAATGCCTCTATGTGGAAAAATAAGCATATCATACACTGTCTGCATGTTCATTTTAGTAAGTCTTGGAAAAACAAGAATTTCAATAGGTTATAACTGAAGCAAAAGAGGAACATAGTACTAAAAGAAAATCAGCTAGGTGTGTTTGTTTTTTAAGTCTTGTAAGTGATAGAAAAATAGATATCTCATCAGCCACTACATGTTATGATTTATCTAACTGAAATATCTTTGAAGTTTTGCCTACAGGCACTAGTATAGAAGCTGATAGGTTTTTTAGTTTGTTTGTTCAGGTCTATGTTCACTTATATGACTTCCACTGAAATTAGTGGTTGATTGATATATTTGTGATTTTGAACAGAGTTAATTATCACCTCTCTGTTGGAATTAATTTCATTTCTAGTATCTTTAGGCAGCACTGGGGGGGGAGGGGAGGTGAGATCAAAAGGCCAACACATTGATTCAACATATAGCTTTTATGATATGTGCTAATCCTGATAATATATATTCTGAGCAAATATGGAATCGATTTCATATCATATTCTATTACTACTCAAAACCTTTAACCGAGAAGGTTTTGATTGTTTTCAGCACGCTCTACGTAGAACATCCAGAGGTTCAATAATATGATGAGGAAAATGGGTTTTGGAGAAAGAAGAATTGCCAGCATCAAAACCTACAGTCCTACTGCACCACACCAATCATGGTGGCTTACTTCCAAGCATACATATTGAAGATACAGTCTTAAGGAAGCCACTTGTAAAAAAGAGTGCAAACTTCTGCTGATTTACTCAGAAGTGAGTTCCCTTTTGTTCATAAACATATTTAGGATTGCAGATTCAGAATAAGCTTGTGGGAAAGAATGGTGAAAGAGGGAAATTTTGGCTATCTTTGCATGCCAGACTTCCCCATGCATATCCTTAACATGGTTTCCTGAACTGACTCAATTTCCTAGGTTCATACTATATCCTCAGCCACAAACAAATGACACAGGCTACGTTCACACAATCCACTAAATGTTTGACCAGTTTGTGGTTGAGAGAGTAGTATAATCCCAATGACTCTCTAGGATAGTATGAAATTTAAGAGCAAAGTAAGTAGCTGCTACACTGCAGAATCAATGTTGTCAATGTCATGTAAGTAGTCTCTCTCTCTCTTTGGCTTGCCTATCTTTTTTAGTCTTTTAAAAGACTTTAAAATAATGTTCAGAAATGTAAAATACAGCAAGATTGCACTCCTCTATACAACTTATAGAGAGGCAAGTCCCAATTAAATCTTTCACAGAGATAGAAATGAAGTTATTTGCATATTTCATATTAGGATTATGCTGTAAATGAATTTTACCAACATGCTGCAGAAATAATGGCTTTACATTAAAGTGTATTAATTGTGAATAGAATATGTTTTTGATAATACAAGTAGGTTTTTACTGTGAATGTATTAAGAGAATCATTCACTCTTTGACAGCAATCCCTAGCTAAAGTAAAGCACAAGGTGGTTTGTTAACAATGATTCTACATGTTGATGGACAGAGTTAATAACTGGAAGAATAGCTTCTTTTGTGGTCAAGTTATTGTTAAAAATCATAAATCAGTTGCTTGTAAACTAAGAATACGTGCTGACTCAAAGATGTTATCAGAAAGCAACATTAATACATTATGTTTTACATTTTCATATAAGAGATAGTTTCAGTGAGCTATGTAGAATGTATTAAACCACCAAGTTATTCAAATGCATAGATGCCCTGGGTTTAACTGGATTTATATCAGGAAGGTATAAATAGATTCAATTAGAGTTTTATGCCCCTATCAATAATAGAGAGGACAAGAAGGCAAGGTATATTGCTTTTGGCTGAAGCAATAATACACAAGGCAGTAGTTTTTCTTGATAGAAGTTGGTTAAAAAAAAAAACCTCATTACATTTGGTTTCAAAATATGATAATGCATTATAAAAAATTATAATCTCTGTAATTTTAAAAGTATCTTCTAAAGTAGCATGCCATCTGTCAAATAATGTCTCATACCATTTATTGCCGCTGTTCATCACCATAATACAACTATTTAAAAACAGCAGTTTTATTACTGTTTACAAAATATATATTGAACAACAGCTGGAAGCTATCCCTTAGAATTTTATGAGAGTCATTTCCCCCCAAGCACTGATATATATATATTTATTTTCCTTGTTCCCCAGGTGACTTTTAGTTTATTTGGTTATTGGATGAGAATGCATCTTCTCCAGATAATTTCTCCCCCTTAAGGAGCAAAATGAAAAATCTGCAGATCAGCTGGGCCTGAATACTGCAGGCAGACTTTAAGCTACAATCCTGTATCAACTAACTTGGGAGCAAAGTTAACAGAAGTTATTTTTGATTAGACAAAGATAAGATTACTTGTCAGAATAATTCAGTAAAGGGTACAGAATCTCAACAATGACCACTCTACCCTTCAGAAAGTAATGCTGCTTTAAGATTTTTCCTATTTCACCTTTTTTTCAGTTGAAAACATATTTACTTAGAGGTCAGACGGGAATCTGCTGCAATTTTAATTTCTAGGTAAAAGCTGATTTAAGATGAGTTTGGGACTATTTCAAGTATTTTCTTAATTCATCAGCTCCAGAGTTCCAAGCCCCCCAAACCTGAATGAACTCCACAGAAAAAGAAATAAGGAGAAACGCCAGTATATGCTTTGCAGAAGTTATTTTACTTTGTTTTGTTTTTCAGGAGTGTCCTTTCATATTTGCCTAGAATTCTGGGGAGGGGGCAGACCTGCCAAGTTGTGCCGCAAGTCAGATTTAGACTGATTTTGAGCTGCTTTATCATGTGAAGGGAGTGATCAGTGTGCAATCCTACCCAGATTTACTAGGGAGTTAAGCCCCAGTGAATCTGACCAGGCAATAGAACCAAATAGAAAAGACACAATCTTTGACTGCTTTCAGGGTGATTTTACAGAAATCAAACAGATTGTAATAGGTTACCCTAGTTTCCATGTTTTCCTCTCCAAACAAGATTTCCTTTAGAAATGTTTTATACTCAACAGTGACAATTTTTTTTTTAAAGAGTATACTTTGATCCTAAACCTACCTACTAGAAAGTATATTCCACTAAAAGTGGTAAGCACAGAGTCTGGCAGTACCATAAAAACTGAGCCCAGCTGCCACAGAAGTTTTCATGGGCCAGACTCCACTGTTTGTCAGAAGTAAGACCAAAACAGCCCTAAGGGCCATAAAAAAGCAGGTCACCATAGAATATTGAGGTGACGCTGCAATTTGTTTGTTTGCACTGACCAACTTTCTGGAATTAAGAGAGCTGCAAATAAAATAAGCTATTTTTCCACCTTTCATCCTTTTATCCAATGAAGCAGAAGAAGAGGTTGATACAGGAAAAAAAGTATCTTTTGTGAAATTGCTGTTCCAACTTAGGGTCAAAAGTATAGAAGATAAGGGGCCTGCCTGCCTGCGCTTTAAAACACCAAATGGCAAGCAGATTTTTGGGGAAGGGGGACTCGGTTAAGAGAGAGAGTATTCTAAAATATATTTAATTCAAGAAAGTCCCTGCAATGGGCTATGTAGGGGTACCAGGATGGCAGAAACGCTCCTGGAGAGAAAATAGAGATTGGGGGGGGGGGGGGGGGGGGGGGAAAACAGAGAAGTTATGGGCTGAGCCGCCTA